TTATATAACAAACATCTAGTAAGATAAAATTAGGCCTAATTTTTTCTCAGAAAGAAATCTGAAGGACACTCAGTAGTACTACTACAGGATAAAGAACAGTATCCCACAAAGTTCTTATCTGAACTTATTTTTAATGGGGATGAAATTCTGTTCTCCCTGTAAAAATAATAGCACTTTAAATAAGTGAGCTCTAAAGGGAACATCTTCCTCTGCCAATTTCGGATGCACTCAACTTACTGATGCTGCTAACAAAGCCATTACTTATGCTTGCAATTTATGAAGTACAGGAAGCATTGCTATTAGAAACTCAACTATGGTGACTAATTTATTCCCTATAAACAACTGCACAATAATTAGATGGTAACTATCCGTTCACTACCAGCCTCCATGAGACAAATCAGTTACTCAAAAATGCAAGGTTCTGCACCCTGTTCCTAGTGTCCTAGCCTTTCAGCTGGTTTTCATTTGACAAGTCTTCCTCCTATAAGCAGAAGAATCCACTCCAGTTAAAATCCCTTGTAATAATTTCAACTAATAAGTTCACAAAAATTAGTTCTCTGAGTAGCTTTTTTAGCACTTAAATGCATTTCACTATAAGGCAATATTCATTCAGTATATTCTCAAGTTTAAAATGCATTAATCTTTGCAGTAACACAGCTATTCAAACTTACTTCACTGGACAAATGAGCTCTCTTGAGTTTAATTTTAGAAAATTCAATTGCTTAACTTCTAATAATGTCTTCATAATGGAAAACTCAAAACAAATCAATAAAGCCAAAAAAAAAAAATTAAGGGCTACTGGAGTAGAGTCAGAAGATATCCCCACATAAGAGAAGTAAAGCTATATAAGATACATTATTGCTGAACCTCATGAACATGACCGTCCTCACTTCTCCTCCACCTGGTTATTATGAAAAGACCTACACACAAAGCCTTAACCAGTGATCTCCTCCTCCCCATGAGCTCTGCAGGAATTGCTGCTTATGATTCCAGGGGCATAAACTGTACCTTGTTCTTTGCTGTATCCATACCACATGATAGGTATACAAGAAATATTTGATAAATCATTTATTTAAGAAGGTGCTTACCACCACTAGCCACCCTCCCTACCGGTTTTACATTTTTGCAGTGAATGCCTATTCTGTACCAAGCATTGTGCTGGGACACAGTAGTCAAAAAGACACAGAATCTGCCCTCATGGAGCCTATGATCTGTTTTTTTTTTTGTGGTTTTTTTTGTTTTTTTTAAAAATATGTCTTTATTAATTTCAGAGAGAGGAAGGGAGAGGGAGAAAGAGAGATAGAAACATCAATGATGAGAGAGTCATTGATCGGCTGTCTCCTGCATGCCCCCTAATGGGGATCAAACCTACAACCTGGGCATATGCCATGACCAGGAATCATACCAAGATTTCCTGGATCACAGGTCGACGCTCAACCGCTGAGCCACACCAGCTGGGCTATAATATGGTTTATACCATATCTGTGTTAATATCTATTCAAGCACACATCATACTAAATTATAATCGCTAGAGTCCTCTAACTGAATTTCTATAACCTATTTGGACCACCTTACCACAATTCGAATCCACTGTAACAGTGGTCTACAAACTTTATTGCACATTAAAATTACCTGGGTGAATGGAGAGCTTTTAAAAATCCTAAACCCTGGCCAGCGTGGCTCAGTTGGTTGAGTGTCGTTCTGTGCACTCAAAGGTCGCTGGTTCAATTCCTAGGCAGGGCAAATGCCAGTTTGTGGGTTACATCCCCAGTTGGGGTGTGTGAGGGAAGCAACCGATTGATGCTTCTCTCTTACATCAATGTTTCTCTCTCTCTCTCCCTCTCCCTGCCCCTCCCTAAAACCAATGAAATTATACACACACACACACACACACACACACACACATATGTATATATATTTTTTAATCCTCACCTGAGGATATTTTTTCCATTGTTTTTCAGAGAGAGTGGAAGGGAGAGAAGAGAGAGAGAAACATCGATGTGAGAGAGACACATTGATTGGTTGCCTCCCACATGCGCCCCAACCGGTGCTGGGGATCAAGCCTACAACTGAGGTATGTGCCCCTTGGCCAGAATCGAACTGGGACCCTTCAGTCCACAGGCCAACGGTCTAACCACTGAGCAAAACCGGCTAGGGCTGAAATCGTATTTTTAAAAAAACCCTGATTCCCAGGCCAAATTCCATATCAATAAGTCAGGATCTCTGGGGTGGGGGGATGGAACACAGAATTTTTTCCAATATGCAGTCAAGTCTGGCTAGGCTAGTGCGCTAAACCACATATTCAACATGCTCATTCCCATATGTATGTGGGCCTTTACAGCTTACACTGTCTCCTCTGTCAAGAATATTTACCCTGGTTTTCTCTATTCATTTATCCTTCTGTAATTTCACCTTCTTTTGTTGAGGTTTTTCTGGATCATTCCTGTGTACAATGAACTGAACTACCTGAGCAATAGCTTTTTTGAAATACTCGGTGTACCTTGATTAACACAATTCTATTCTTTTCCCTCATCCAAAACCATATTTTATAACTATCCTTAATTACTAGTTACTTTGAGAACATCTAATATTCCTAAATGTCAATATCTTTTCCAGGTAAGAAAGCACCTCGTACTTTTGTTTCCCAAAGCATTTAGCAAAGCTCTGATCAGCAATGGATGACATTCAATAAACACCTCTTATTCTGTCACTGCTTGACAAAGGGCTACATGCGATAGTCTGAAAACTTCCTTTTGGTTATCTAGATGGCTTTACAAACAACTGAATCTCACAAATACAATCTGTACAGAAGCCAGAGCCAGGCACAAAAGAACATTGCTGAATCATTCCACATATAGAAAGTTAAAGAGCAGCAAAAGTAATCTACGTATTAGAAGTCAGGAAAAGAGGAAAGAGGAAGTAACTGGTAGGAGGTGAGGAGGATGCTTCTGGGATGCTGGTCATGGGTAAGTGTTGGTTTCATGGGTGTTTTCACCATATAATCACTGACCTGTGCACTTTTCTATCTGTGTACTTATTTAAACAGAAAAGTTTTAAAAAATCTAAGCATCACCTAAAATTAAAGTTTCAAACCAGAGTTTGCTTAAGGTGGTAAAGAATACAATAAGCCTGAGACATAAACCTAAAATGAATCTTATATTCTAATTCAGATTAATAATAAGAAGAAAGTCATACCTGTACATCCAGTCGCCATTCAAGGCTGTGGTAACTGGGGAGGTCTGGTGCTAGTTCACTCAGAATAGTTCTGATCTCCTTTCTGTTGTCCAGATAAAGCTGAAGCAACAATTTGTTCAATTCTTCTGAGAATCCCAGAACAAAAACAGAGTCTTGGAAATCCAGTTCAGAAATCTAAAGTGAAATGAGTTTAACAGAACAAATTTTATCTTTGTCTAGTAAATGCTAAAATAGTTGATACATACAAAAGAATATGAACTCCCCTAATTCTTTTCTATCTAGTAAAAGAAACAGTACTCCTTAGTTAAAGGCAACCCTTGCCCACTATTTTAGAATCTGAGTTTCTGATACATAAAAATACTTTATTAAAATATAAAAAATAAAAAATTATTAAAATGCCCAGTTTTCTCTCCTATTCTTCATCAAGCCAGATGCTGCTAATATGCAAAAAAGTAAATCATTATATTCTTCCTTTTCTTAGGATACATACTATAGTATATGGTTCAATAACATGCAGAATTAGAGGCAATTCTAATTTACACTAACATGGAGGTATTCATGCCAGCAGATTGTTACAGTCACATTGTTTAGGCATGTCTTCCCCAAATCAATTATAAACCATTAACAACATAACTGAAATATGCAGGTACCTGCCAGGGCTATGATGTAGAGTATACATGACCTTCTTAACGTCAGGGTAATACAAGAAAGTCCACGGAGCCCTTACCATGAGCTTTGAGCTTTCCGTGAGCAGGTATGTTAATCCTTCCACACCATGCTGGACAGTGTCACTACTCACATTGAGTTTTCCTGAGGAAAAAAAAAAAGGAAAAATGAGCAAATAAATTGTGATTTTTATCCTTTTATTCAAGCTCTTATTTAAGAATAAATGTTATCCAGTATTCCTTTATTTTTCAAACACTGCAATTTAAAATAACGACTTGGTAATGGCCTCCCGTTCTTTCTCCACTCACAGCCAAATGCCTTCAGTATTTCCCGTTTTGTAACCTTCGTTACAAATGCGGACCGTGGAGACCAGCACCAGGCGCACGGTCTTCCTCTCGAACGCGCAGCTCCCTCAAGCCTGGCAGAGGAGGAACTCACAGGGACTGCCCGAATCTGAGAAACTGCCCGAATCTGAGAGGCTGCCTCGTCCAGGGGGCAAAACAGCACTTCACCAAAGGCAGATGTGAGCAGTAACCGCCACACACTTGCATGGCGTTGCGGCTGCCCGCGTATTCTCGCACTCGGGTGAATGGAAGCCCTGCAGCATCTCTGGCACATGGCAGTACGTCTATTCTACACACGAGGAAGCCGACTTAACAGAGGCTTCAGACATCCCCCCGCTACGGACACCCGCAGGATCTGCGCCCTGCCTGACGAGCGGAGCGGGTTTCATTCCACCCCAGGGGGAACGGGGCCCTCGGGCCGCAGTAACTCCTTCCTCTGCAGGACCACGGAGGGCGGCGCGGCTGCGGCGGCGCCCCTCCCCTCTTACTGGCGGCGCCCTCGTAGATCTTGGGGTTCGAGCCTCGCCTCAGGAACTCCACCGCGATCCGCCCGAACTCGGCGACCACTGCAACGGAACCAGGAGCTCGTGAGCACCGGGCGCCCCGCCGCTTCTCCTCCCCCTCGCCCCCCCCGACCACAGCCGCCACCCTCCGCCGCCGCGTCGCGGACCCGAGCTGTCCACTCGCGGCAGGAAGGCCAGGTGCTCCTTGTGCTCCTCGGACAGGTCCAGCAGCATCTTGGCTGGGCTGCCGGCTTCACCGAGGCGCAGGCCCCGCCCTCGCCACTTNACAGCTGCGGGCACTGCCAGGAGCTCGCCTCGCCGCTGCCGCTCCGTTCATGTTCAGGAAACAAGACAGGCGACCGAAACGGACTCGTATAGAGCCCTTGGTTCGCACAGAGCTGTCGGACATGTCACCTTAGGTATCTTTTTAACGCGCTCATCAGCCCTTAGCTTGTTCTGGCGGATGAAGACCAGAGCTCCAGAAGGGCGTGGTTACTACCCGGGCACCCGCGGAGGGAGCGGACCGACCTCGCGGCCGCCGCCCCGGGGCCC